CCAGGAGAATAGCTGCTTAAAAAATCCACAAACACGTCTAGCATCATTAGTGGGCAAAGCTTGCGCCTCAGCCCACCTAGAGTTGTAATCAACAACAACTAAGATGTAGGTATTGCCAAAGGATGGAGGAAAGGGGCCCCAAGAAGTCGATACCCTAGACATAAAAAAATCTCACATGTTATAAATACATTCTGAGGCATCTCATCATGGGCAGAGATATTACCTGACCTCTAGCATCAATCGCACCTGCGTGCGAAGGCGGCTGCATCCTTGAAGAGCATGGGCCAGTAAAAGCCCGACTGTAGCACTTTTCTCGCCGTGCGGTTACCGCCATGTTACCGCCAGTAATTTCCTCATGGAAGTGAGATAGAATGACCTCCATCTCACTTTCCATTACACAATGACGGATGATCCCGTCGGCTCCGATCCTGAAGAGATGAGGGTCATCCCAGAAGTAGTGCTTCAGGTCGGAGAAGAACTTCCTCTTCGTGTGAGTCGTCATCCCCTTAGGCAGCTGTTGGCCCACCAGATAATTTGCAAAATCGGAGTACCAAGGGTGACACTCTCCACCAGGAACATCATCATCAGTCGCTCATCTCGGAAAGAGTCGTTGATCTCCTCCACGAGATTGTCCGTAAGTGGTGCGTCCAACCGGGAGTGGTGATCAGCAGCAACATTTTCAGCTCCCTTCTTGTCCCAAATCTCGATGTCGAACTCCTACAGTAGTAAGATCCATCGTATGAGCCTCGGCTTGGCATCGGCCTTGCTCATCATGTATCGAATCGCGAAGTGATCTGTGTACACGATCACATGGGACAAGACCAAATAAGGACGAAACTTGTCGAAAGAAAACACCACCGCGAGCAGCTCCTTCTTCGTGGTGGTGTAGTTCTCCTGGGCATCATTGAGGATCTTCGAAGCGTAGTAGATAGGACAGAAGTATTGATCTCGCCTATGCCCAAGACAGCTCCAATTGCAAAGTCACTGGTATCGCACATAAGCTCGAACGGTAGGGACCAGTCAGGGGCGACCATGATAGGAGCATGAGTGAGCTTCTCCTTCAAAGTCGTGAATACTGTTGTGCATGCATCGGTGAACTGGAAGGGGGAATCCTTCTCAAGGAGCTTTGTTAGGGACAAGGCGATCTTTGAGAAATCCTTGATGAACTTCCTGTAGAACCCTGCATGGCCTAAGAAACTCTGGATCCCCTTAGTAGATGTGGGAGGAGGCAGCTTACTGATAGTCTCGATCTTTGCCTTGTCCACCTCAATCCCCATCTTGGAGATCTTATGCCCCAGAACTATGCCTTCGCGAACCATGAAGTGACACTTCTCCCAACACAGTGCCAGGTACGTCTCTTCACACCGTTTAAGGACGAGTTCTAGGTTATGGAGATAGTGAGAGAATGAATCCCCATAAACCGAAAAGTCGTCCATAAACACCTCCATAATCTCGCCGACCATGCGGTCAAAAATGGCGAGCATGCATCGCTAAAAAAGTGGCAGAGGCATTGCATAGCTCGAATGGGATCCTCTGGTAGGCGAATGTGCCGAAGGGGCAGGTGAAAGTGGTCTTCGCCTGGTCCTCCGATGCAATGGGGATCTGGAAATACCCGGACGTCCCATCCAGGAAACAATAGAACTCGTGCCCCGTTAGTCTCTCCAGCATCTGATCAATGAATGGCAGCGGGAAAGGATCCTTCCGGGTGGCGTCGTTGAGGCGATGGTAGTCGATGTAGACGCGGTACCCGGTCACTGTGCGCATAGGTATGAGCTCATTCTTATCATTGGGTAACACAGTCATCCCGTCCTTCTTAGGCACCACCTGGGTTGGACTAACCCACTCACTGTCAGAGATGGCGAAGATCATCCCCGCGTCCATCAGCTTCACGATCTTCGCCCGAACCACAACCTCCAGGTTTGGGGTCAATATCCGTTGGGGCTGTCTTACCGGCCGCATCTCATCCTCTAGCAATATCCGGTGGGAGCAGAAGGAGGGGTTGATCCCCCCGGATATCAGTGATCTTCCACGCCGGAGCTCTCTTACTACTTCAGCAAGGCCACCAATCTGACCTTCTTCTCGGGTGTGAGGGTCGAGCTAATGATGACTGGGAGCTTCTTCCCCTCCCGGAGAAATGCATACTTCAAGTAAGGATGGAGGGGCTTTAGCTCCAGCTCTGGGGGCTCCTCCAAAGAGATAGTGATGCGAGGTGAGGATGAGATCGGTTTGAACAGCCTATCTCCCTCCAGTAATGCGCCACTCTCCAACGCAGCCAAATACTCCTCCAGCTATGGCTCCTGCGATGCCTGCTCACCTAGCAAAATACAACGCTCAAGAGCATCGTCAGTACCCGCACTCGTTATGGCGAGTGCGGTCTCAAAATCAACAAGCATATTACAGTAATCTAAGTCATCATGAAAATGGGAGTGTTTCTCATTCTCAGACACAGAAAAAGTAGCTTGTTCATCCCCGACATGCAAGATCAGCTTACCACTATGCACATCAATAAGCGCATTGGCGGTGGCGAGAAATGGCTACCCAAAATCAAAGGTACATCCACATCCTCATTTATATCCAGAATAACAAAATCAACAGGATAGGTGAATGCGCCTACATTAACAAGCAGATCCTCTATGATACCCCTAGGATGCACAATAGAGCGATCAGCTAACTGAATGCTCATCCTAGTAGTTCTAGGTTCACCTAAGCCTAACTTCTTAAACAATTTATACGACATGACATTTATGCTAGCGCCTAAATCCGCCAAGGACTTTCCTACATGCATGCTGCCAATAACAAGAGGGATAGTAAAACTTCCCGAGTCTTTGCGCTTCTCGGGCAGCTTGTTCTGCAGGATGGCAGAACACTCCTCGCTCAGCATCACTGTCGAGAGATCCCCCAAGGTTCTTCTTGTTGGTGAGGAGATCATTCATGAATTTGGCGTACTTGGGCATCTTCGACAGTGCCTCCACGAACGGCATGCTGATGTTGACCTGCTTCAATATTGCCATGAACTTGGCAAACTCAGTCTCCAGCTTGTCTTTATGTAGGCGAGTGGGGAAGGGAAGCTAGGGTACATGCTCCTTAACCACTGGCTGTGGCTTGGGAGTAGGTGCTTCTTTCTCCATTCCCACTTCTGCATTGTCGGCTGGAAGTGTCGAAGCAAGTAGTGGCTCTTCTTGCCTAGCCGGGGTAGGGGCAGCAGATGTTTTCTTGCCACTCCTGGTAGTGATAGCATCCATCTGCTGGTGAGGCTCGTGAGGATTTGGAATTGTGGTGGCCGGCAGAGTCCCCGGTGCTCTGGTGTTATTTTGGCGGGCTATGCCACCAATCTGATTTTGGAGATCCTGCAATATGGCACCTTGGTTTCTCTAACCTTCCTCCAGAGAGATTATGTTCTGGTCCATCCTGGCAAAATTTGCCTGAATGGTAGTCATGAATGCCTGCAAAATATTTTCAGCTTCGTCATCTGAGTATCTGGAGCTGGAGCTGCTGGCAGCTAGGCATACTGGTAGGGGTGGGCAACGGGACAGGACGGGATACCCGTCCCGTTTTAAACGGGTACCCAGTCCCATTTGGAGGCCAAAGTCCTTCCCATGTCCCAAACCCATATGGGAAACGGGTACCCATTACCCGTACGGGACGGATAACGGGTACCCATAATACCCATAAATACCCAAAGTTGCATTCCCTTGACTAACTTCATTCCCTTGATTAGCCATGAAAACTATAAACCAAATCAACATAAATCAAATAGACAGATGCTGGAAATTAGAAACATAATTAGTAATTAGCAGAACAAATCTAACTAGTAATTAGAGTCCAGAATATGTACTGTATGTAGAAAAGAAAAGAGAATGGCAGCTGCATACCTAAATAGATAACAACGCCGGGTGAATGGTGATGCTGCTGATATTCCCCCTGCTCCTGGCTGGGAAAGTTGGCTGCTGCTGGTTTGCTATTGGAGACGGTGCAGCAGAGTGAGAAGAAGGAAGTCGCCGCGGCCCGCGCCGGTGAATGAAGGAGGAAGCGCGCAGAGCGGCGGAGACGCGGAGGCGGAGCTAGCGAGCTAGGTCTCGCTGTCGGCCTGTCGCTGAGGCTGGCGCTGCGGCTGCGCTGGGTGGAGGACGCTGTCTCACACTCTCGCTGTCTGACTGTCTCGCAGTTAAGTGAAAGCCGAAAGGGAATAGGCAGCCATGCAGGGTAAGGGTTGACTAAGGGTAAGGGCCGAAATGGCCAAGGCCTAATGCCACATTTCTGAATTAGTGAATTGGGTTGGGGTGTTGGGCTGTGGGCTATTTCTGGTAAATGGGTATAACGGGTACCCACATTTCCCAAACGGGTATTTGCGGGTAACCCGCGGGTACCCATATTAGGAATCTACAATCCCAAGTCTCATCCGTTTATAATAATACGGGTAATATGGGTACCCGTAACCCTTAATAAACGGGACGGGTACGGGTATACCCAAATACCCATTTCCCGTTGCCCACCCCTATATACTGGCGCTACGGCTGCTGGAATGGCTGCCCCTGTCTGGGCTGGTAAGGCTGCTGTTGTGGAACCGAGCCCATCCTGTCCTGGAAGGGCTGCCTCTGCTGAAGACCACCTGCTGGTGCTGGAAAACCAGGTGGTTTAGTGGTGTTGCTATCATTCCAGGAGAAGTTGGGATGCTGGCACCACCCTTCATTATATGTACCACTATAAGGATCAAGGCATCGAGCATTGGCGATGAAGTCCAACTGCTCCTGGGGTGTAGAAGACTCTCGCATGGCCTGGCAGTCTTCCACCAGATGGTTCAAACTCTCACACCAGTGACATTGAGCAATTGGAGGCCCGGCCAGTCCTTTGCCCGGAATCAGACTGTTGGGCTGCTTTAATGTCTGGACCAATTCGGCCACCTCCCGCTCTATCACGGACCTAGCCTCCATGGCGTGCACACCTCGGTCCCGGGAACTCCTACTTCTGGTGCTCTGCCCCCAGAGTAATCTCTGGCAGCTAGAGTACTGATTATCTTATTCAGCTCGGGTGGAGTCTTTGTGAGAATATCCCCTCCTGGGCATAGAAACTCGATCACCTTCTAGCTTTTTGGGGTCAGAGCGTTGTAGAAATTCCCCACTGTGAATGCATCACTGAAGACGTGAGGGAGACACTACCATAAGAATCTCGAGAACCGCTCTCAGGCATCACGTAGTGACTCATCTGGCTCCTGGCGGAAATGAGTGATCTCCTGTTGAATCTCCATGGTCTTCAAGGCCGGATAATACATGTGCACCAATTTGTCGGCCAAGTCGTCCCACGATGTGATGGATAGTGGGGGATGGGTCTCTAACCACCTCTTCGCATGCCCCGCCAGAGAATGAGGGAAAAGGTGGAGACGGATCGCATCATCAGGTACACCATTCATCTTGAATCCATTTGTCAGCTGTAGGAACCGGGAAAGGCGCCTCTTCATCCTTTAAGCCATGGAACTGGATAGAGGATGCAATCAACTGAATCCAGCATGACTTGATCTCAAAGTTGTTTGCTAGAATGGGCGGATAGAGGATGACGGGGCGGATGTCGGCGACCCGTGGAGTGTAGTAGTACTCCATAGTAGGACCCGACGGCGGTGGTGGATGCTAAGCCCCATCTGCTTGGGGGAATGGGTTGTTCCCCAGGATCTGATTCACTGGGGGAACCTGCATGGACATCCCGAGGGGTTGGTTATGCCCCAGGTTGAGGTTCCCCCTGTTGTCTCCTTAGTTGGCGACATGTGCATTCTAACTCCGGATCTAACGGTAGTAAACCTCCCGACTGGCTACGGGTCATGCACTACCTGCACACAGCCAAACAATCAAACCCGTGAAGGCACAAGCAGGAAAAAGCAAAAAATCAATGCGGAAATGGAAATGCTAAAGTAACAGAAATCACGTTTCTTCAACAACCTAGCCGTCCCCGGCAACGATGCCAAAAACTAGACACGCCTCTACCGTCACACTAGAAAGTGGCCAAGTGCAACCACCTACTAATGTGTAGTATAGCGAGTTCAGTTCTAAATGTCAACCCGGGTCCTAGGTGTGATGACTACTCCGTGAAAATCTTATTATTTAGCGGTTCTAGTGTAGTGAAGGTTTAGTTAAACTAGAAAGCAAAGCAGTGAAAGTTGTGTTCAAGTTGAGAGAGGTCACCCAGATATGGTTCCCCCTAGACTGCAGTTAAGCTAGGTTGTAATTTACCAAGTTCAATTTCAATGATAGTTATATTGCGGGAGGTTCTTAAACAGTCTGCAGTCTCGACTAAAGGTCTCCAGTCCCTCTCAATCTGAGTCCCCAGCGGGCGACCAACCTCCACCGGAGTAAACAGATTGAGGCCCTAACGAACCAAACCTCCTCTACCGAAGTAAATCCGGTACAGAATAGTGAATTGACTTCTCGACTAGAGTCGTCAATTCACTGCCTTCAAACAAGGGTGCTCTATCAACCTAGGCAGATACTCTCTTTCTAGGTCAAATCAGAAATAACAGGAATTTGATCAAGATTCATGTCATTCAAGAAATCAAACCTCAATTGAATATAATCATATCACTGAATTCGTACTTGGGTTAATACAATCAGACCTAACATACAAATCTAGGGTTCTTCATATCCATGTGAATGAGAAAGTTTACTCCATAGAGAGAGAAGGGAAATCTAGCTCAGATGCGGAAACCATACTGTGAAGGATGGGATTCTGCTTCTGGCAACCAATCGGCACTTCTCCAAGCTCAAGCCGGGCTCCAATGGTGATGAAGATCGATCTAGGGCACTTAGAGAATCAGGTTCGTCACTCTCTCTCTCTCTCTCTAGGTATCAGCTTTTTCTCTCTAAAACTCGGAACCCTTCAAAAGTTGGCCTTCTTTTCCTTAAGAGTCAGCAGATCGTGATCCCCGGCCATAATACCCGGTCGGGTATTTTAGGTGTCCGACCAGGGATTTCAAAACGCACAGTTTCGCGTAGGGGATTAATACCCGGTCGTGGCCCCGAATACCCGACGGGTATTTTTGCTCTCTGGTCGGGACCCCTCCTGCTTCTTGGCGTCCAAAAACGTGAATCCCCAGCCTCCCTCAGCAATTTACCCGGCCGGGTATTTTTAACTCCTGGCCGGGTATTTTCCTCTTCCAGCGCCCTTCACTCAAATGTCCTCCTTTTTTACCCGAAACTTGTTTCCTCGCCTTCACATCAACGTCAAGTCTTGAAATATGACATAAACATACAACCTAGCGTGAAATCGGCTTAAAACACGAGAATCGACTCTCAAACGGCTCAAGAATAGAGGCATAAACATGTGTAATTATTGGTCTATCACCTCATATAGTATATCAAAAGTTTATTAAAGCATACAAGATCTCTCATAAATCATACCACGAGTTACACATACCAGAAACCTTATAAACTTGAACCAATTTGTTTTTATGATATAGTAGGGTTTCACAAATTAGGATGAAAACCAAATATAGGGTAGCGAAGTTTGCCTGTTAATAGGACTCAGCGAGACCCTGCCACAACCGATCAATCTGAAGGGGATTTCACCCCTTGTTCGTTTCTTTGTCAGTGGGATGGGGCTATCAAGCATGCGTCCCACTCGACAGGAGGAATGGTTGTTATGAATCAGGCAGGGGTGGTTCTTCTGGCTAAAGGAGTCCAATTTGTTGGGATTGAAGATCCTTTGGTTGTTGAGGTCCTTTCGCTCGGGGAGGCAATTCTTTGGTGTGTCGCGTCTGGGTTTACGTAAATGTGATTTGAAGGGGCCGTAAAGGTGATTATTGACAAAATCAACCAGGTCGATTCTAGTGACAGCCAGATTGGAGCCCTTCTTGATGAAGTTCTGCATTGCTTATCAAACCATAGTGGGTTCAGTGTGCGGTTTGTAGGTCGGCGTACGTAGTAATAAGGTAGCATATTTGGTGGCTAGGAAAGCCTTTCATTTGTACCGACTGCGAGACGCTTTTTTAATTTTATGGTCTGGTTAAATTCCAGGATGAACGGGGCCTTTCATTCCGAAGATGAACGGGGCTAAGCGATCTGCTGAAGCTGTGGGATGTAAAAATGCATCGGTAGGGGAGCGTTCCGCCTTAGGGGGAAGCATCCGCGCGAGCGGCGGTGAACGAAGCGGAAGCGAGAATGTATGCTTGAGTAACGCAAACATTGGTGAGAATCCAATGCCCCGAAAACCTAAGGGTTCCTCCGCAAGGTTCGTCCACGGAGGGTGAGTCAGGGCCTAAGATCAGGCCGAAAGGCATAGTCGATAGACAACAGGTGAATATTCCTGTACTACCCCTTATTGGTCCCGAGGGACGGAGGAGGCTAGGTTAGTCGAAAGATGGTTATCGGTTCAAGGATGCACGGTGTCCCTGCTTTTTCAGGGTAAGAAGGGGTAGAAAAAATGCCTCGAGCCAATGTTCAAGTACCAGGCGCTATATGATTATTTTTTGTTAAATCTTTTTGAGTGAGTAGATAGGTACTATAATACTCTCCCGCGCGAGTTGTCCGTCGCGACTTCCTTCATTCCCAGCAAACGACCTCAAAAAGCTTTTCCTCTGCGTATTGAATCCCAATCACCGATGATCCTCTACAATATTTGGAAATCCGTTTTTCATGTTAGGCAAAAAGCCAGAAACATGCGACTTTAGGAGAGGATTATTTCACTCTTGTGCAGCTTCGATGCTGTCCTGTCAGAGACTTCTTCAGGAGAGGATTATCTCACTCTTGCAGTCATGTAAGACCATCAAGCATCTCCGGCAGGTCCAGTCTCAGGTGACGGCCAATGGGTTTAGCCGGAGCGAACATATTGTCCAGAAAGTTATCGTGGCGTGCGGGTTGCTGAAGGAAACGGACTGTGCCCGTAAGTTGTTCGATGAAATTCCTGTACCAAGCGTCTCTTGCTGGAATACAATGTTCAAATGCCAGTACCTCAATGCTGAGCACCGGGAGGTTATTATTTTGTTCTGTCTGATGAGGAGTTTTGATATAGTGCCAAACGGTTACAGTTTTCCTGTTGTCCTGAAATCTTGTATAAAGATCAACGCTTTGAGAGAAGGTAAAGAGTTGCATTGCCTTGTGACAAAGAGTGGATTTGCTTCGAACTCATTTGTTGGCACTACTTTGGTTGAGCTGTACTCGAATCGGAATCTAATTGAAGCAGCTTACAAGATTTTCTGTGAGATGCCGGAAAGGAATGTGGTTGCTTGGACTGTGATGATCAATGGCTACATTTCCTGCCATGACATCATTGCTGCAAGGAGGCTCTTTGACCTGGCTCCGGAGCATGATGTTGTGATGTCGAATACAATGATCTTGGGTTACTTCGAAGTAGGAGACATGATAAGAGCACGGGAACTTTTCGATAAGATGAGTAGAAAGGATCTCATGTCCTGGAACACCGTACTCAATGGGTATGCAAACAATGGCGATGTTGAGGCTTGTGAGGCATTGTTCGAGAAAATGCCGGAGAAAAATATTTTTTCATGGAATGGACTAATTGGTGGTTATGCACATAATGGGCGTTTCCCTCAAGTGTTGACGACATTCAATAGAATGCTTGCAGAGAACAAAGTCAAACCGAATGAAGCGACATTGGTGATGGTGTTATCTGCGTGTGCACGATTAGGTGCTCTAGTTCTAGGCAAGTGGGTGCATATTCAAGCCAAGGCTAATGGATATAGTGGAAATTGTCGTGTTGGGAATGCTCTTATTGACATGTACGCCAAATCTGGAGCCATGGAAAGTGCAATTGATGTATTCAGAAGCATGAAAAGGAAGGATTTGATTAGCTGGAACACCATGATTTTTGGTTTAGCAACGCATGGTCATGGAGCTGATGCCTTGAATATGTTTAGTGAAATGAAAAATGCTGGAGAAAAACCAGATTCAATCACCTTTATAGGAATCCTGTCCGGCTGTGCACATATGGGTTTCGTAGAGGATGGATTGTCATATCTCAAATCAATGATTGATGATTACTCAATAGAACCTCAAATTGAGCATTACGGGTGCATTGTAGATTTGCTAGCAAGAGCCGGTCTTCTAGCTCAGGCTGTGGATTTCATTGTCAAGATGCCTAAAGAAGCCGATGCTGTCATGTGGGCTACTCTGCTTGCGTCTTGTAGGGTATACAAAAATGTTGAATTTGCTGAATTGGCCCTTGAAAAGCTTGTTGAATTTGACCCCAAGAACCCAACAAACTACGTGATGCTATCAAACGTCTATGGTGATATTGGTAGATGGAAAGATTTGGCCAGACTGAAGGTTGCAACAAGAGATACTGGATTCAGGAAGTTACCAGGATGTAGCTTGATTGAGGTCAATGATGTTGTCTCAGAGTTTTATTCGCTTGACGAGAGACACCCTGACAAAGAGCAGATCTATGAGTCCTTAAAGGGATTGACCATGCTCTCGAGGCTGTATGGTAATATTCCAGAAGGGGATACTGATATTGACTAGTATATGCAGGGAGAATAGTGGTGATATATTTGAAACATTGCAAATATGTTTTCCAGACTACTGAAGTAAGAAAAGTGTACTATGTCTTGGGATCTTCCTAAATGCGCCATTTGCTTCCCTCTTACTACGAAAATGATTAAATCAACGATGACCTGGATTCTTCCTAAAAATGAGTACAGCTGTTGCAAGTATAAAGAGACCAAGCGCTAGATTATGTGATCGATTGTCATCATGAAGTCAAGAATCATGTTGGGACAATTTTGACGAAGTTTTGTTGCAAAGTGGTGGGCCGTATAGTTTTTAGGACTAGTGGATTGGGAGATAAGAAGCCTGATAAGAGGATGCAACGTCATGAGAAGTATACAACGTGGAATTACGTCGTCTGAGAGAAAAGGAGCATGCTATTGCTAGGGAAATATCCCTTTAAGAGTGGCACAAGAAGTGGGGGAGCTGAACAGGGGTGACGGGGTAAGAGGAAACCCAAAGCAGATCCGATTTTCAAAGGGGGATTGGAGAACGAGCAAATGGTCCGATTCAAAAGGGGGACTGGAAAAGGAGTAAGTGGTCTGATTCAAAAGGCGGAATGGTGAAGCAGATCTGATTTTTCTTGGTTCGCAATATTAATTAATGTTGCTTTGTTAATTAAAGGTTCACGAACCAAGAGAATTCAGTGATGGTACTGTTAATTGTTGCTGATGCTTCTGCTGTAGCCTCACCATAATCATGTCCAAGTTTAAATCCTGCCCCTAGTGATACTGTGAATGCTGCAACAACACCTCCTGACAATCGCCCTCCTGTGACACCTGCTACCAAAATGAAGAGAAGGAAGAGAAGAACAATGAAGCTAAGGTAAGACGTTTAGACCCAGTTTACTAAATTTAAAGAGGGTGATGACGTGATTTCTAAGTTTAATTTGTGTGTTAAGGTTTAATTTGGTGATACAACAACCAATCGAACCAGTGCTTTAAGATTTCATAGGCTTTCCTGCAATGAACAACTATTTTCTCAGAAATAGCAGTTGCTGAATGTGAAACCTGGTCAAGATGGATGGAAAACTTGGTAGGAGTTTTAAGAGGAAATTAGAAAGGTTGTAGTGCGCATGATTATTATCAATTAGGAGCCTTTTAGAGTATTTAGCAGTGAAGGGCTTAGGCATTTGATGGCAACTGCATGTCCTAGGTTTCGGATACCTTCTAGAACTACTATTACGTAGGATTATTATAAGTTTATTTTTATATGAAAAAGGATCTACTGAGACAATCCCTTAGGAAATTTGATGGAAGGGTTTCCTTAACTGCAGACACTTGGACATCATTACAAAACATCCACTACGCGAGTCTTACTGGCCGTTGCATAAAATGTTGACTGGAAATTGAAGATCTTGAATGTATGCACAGTTTCTTCTCATAAGGGTAAGGATATAGGAGAAAGTATTGAAATTTGCTTACATCATTGGGATACTGGCGGTGGATTATATCCTTCTGCAAATGACGTGGCAGTAGAGTATTTAAGAGAGAAACTTCTATTTCATACGGAAAACATATAATCAATTTAATTGTTGGTGATGGTTTGGAGGAGCATCATCCTTCATTAAGAGGAGTTCAAGAGGCTGTCAAGTAACTCAGGTCATCTCTTTCTAGTTTGGAAATGTGATTTTTATTTAAGGGCCGATGATATAGAGTTGAATTGTGAATCATGACCTAGCTAATAGTTTTTTATATATATAATGGCGATATGACCTAGCTAATAGTTTCTGCTGTATTAGAAGTTATAGCAGTTTATGATTTGAGGTTAGTAGTTTATGTTCTGTTAGAATGCTTATATTCAAAGTCGGGGCAAATGAGTTTTGTTTCACACTAAATCATGGCAGCTGAATCTGTTTGATGTTGGTTTCCTTTTGACAGTATTCTGTATGTTTTTCATGGCAGTTGGACTCTTCCCTTGTGTGATAACTTCAGTTGGATGTACAATGGAAATGGTAATTTTCACATCCTCGTTTCTAGAGTTTGCGTCTTGAATGAATGGTGGTTCTCCTTGGGTCTAACTGTGCCACTTGATTTTTACTATGTAGATGGAAACATTGCATCGGAATGAGTATTCTTTTGTTCCTTGTCCCCTTCTTTCATCTGACTTGAGCAACCTTGGTCACCTGTCTTTTCTCGTAATATTGTTATGTTCAATATCAATCCGAAAGCTGAGATTGATCCTCGTAGGTTATGTAGATGAATGTAGTTTCAGCCACATTCTCCGAGTTTCCAGGGAGAGGCGCTGTGCACTGTTTTTGGGCTCTTCTGTTATGATGTATTCTTATTATGAAACTATTTTGCTTCCAGAATTTGCAGGGTGCACTTGCTTTAGAAGAAACACTTTCTCAAGTATCCCGATTGCCGAGTGAAAAAATATGTTTTTCAAGTCGAAACTATTTTTTATGGATGTGAGGGACCATTTCTGCACATACCAGACCTTGAGTTAAGCATGTTGATCGTTGCTCTGGAGTTAAGAACCAAATAATTTGATCAAGGGTGTTATTTTTAACGATCCGATGATTAACTTGAAGCAAAATTTATATGCTGAAAGTTTACTGGGTTCATGGCATCCAATGATTTGTTCTTGTGAAACTGTGATGATGTTATTCCTGAACTTGTACACTGTCTTTTCTCCTTACTGCTTCAATCCAATGATCACCGATTAAATTTTCTGAAATGTTGTCATAATTTGTTGCTTACTTATGAATCCGACCAAGTTTTGTTTTCTCTTCAGTTGAGACAGAAGGCATTTCGACCACGTCTATTACAGCAGGACAGAAGTACCTAAGAGCGCGAGAGTAGACCCTGACTTAGTAAGCCGCTCCCTTTCCCATCACTGAACCTCTTATTATTGCTAAGCTTGCGTTTGGCGAGTGATTTGCTTGTTGGTTCTTGGGTCTGTTATGATTTTGGGATCAAATCTGTACGTGTGCCAATGATAGTCATCATGGCTGAGTTGAAAGTAGTTTATGTGAACTAGAATAAGGGTTGAATTTTTTTGGCTGTGCTCTTGCAGTCTCAGTACGCATATTATACACTAGTATTTGCATGTCAAACACTCTCTTGTTGTTCCTACAGTACAGTTGGTCCTAGAGTACAGTTTAGCTAAGACTTCTATGGAGACTGATTTGGTTCATGATGTTCTGATCTCGGGGAACATATGTTTCAGTTCATGATTTGTTAATTATTTAGGAGCAAAATTCAGAGTGAATTCTTTCATTTCTTTGCTTTAATGACTATTTGTGATGTCTTACCTTTCAGTATTGTCAATTTAGTTTAACTGTCTAAGATTGTAAGTGAAGTTTCTGTTTGAACGTAGCCTTCACAGCATTTATGTTAGGCTTGATATGTGTCGTTACGATTTACGATGGCTTAATTTGATCAAGGGTGTTGTATTTAAAGCTCTAGTGAAATAACTTTCGGTTGAATTTATATGCTGCAATTTTACGGGGTTCATGAGGTTTAGTGATATGTTTTATGTGTATGGAAATTGTCACATATACTACATTTCTTCCAACAAATAAATATATAAGATCATGAAGTACATGCAATTTCTTAAGGAATTTTATTTCTCTCTAGTATTCAAAATTATCAATGAATTCCTCACAAGATTAAAATGATATACTTTTTCCTGTGTTGCGATACCTTAAACTTGGAAAACAACAAACTTAATGAATTGGCGAGAATCACTAACACAATTTTGTTTTGGAAAGAATACAAAAAACAAGTTTTGATTTTGGCAGAGTTCCGATCCCTCTAAAATTTGTTGAAAATTTCTCACATCACTACATAAAAGAAGAGAGGGTTGGTGCTATTTATAGAAAATAAAGAAGTTTTGATGGTTAAGCTTAAATCGTTGCTCCGTTAAAAAATGTCCAATCATTGCATCAGTTTGTGCCATGATAGTTGAATTAGTGGTTCATTTCAACTGCCACATTTGTTTGGTTTGGTTATGGCTGGTTACACAAACAAACTGGATTGATTACCCAAATTGTTAATCAAAACAAATTGATGGAATCTTAAGGCCTTCTTCCCACGTCTCACCAATATAGTATTTCCAAAGTTTCTATTGGCTCCTTCTCTTTTTATATTAAATAATATGATTTTAGAATTTATTTTATTTTTAAAATGATATAAATGAAGGAAAATTATATTTTCTGAAATAAAATTAAAATATGGTAAGGATAATCTTGTATTTTCAAAACAGCTTTTCGCAGAAGCTCCAAATCGGAGCTTCTGCTTTTATGTTATACAAAAGCGCTTTTCGGCTTTTCAAAAGCCGAGCTTTTAGAGGTGTTTGGCCCTGCTTCAGCTTTTGAAGCCGAAAAGCACTTCTAAAAGCCAGGCCAAACATAGACATAGTATTTCCAAAGTTTCTATTGGCTCCTTCTCTTTTCATCCCTATTCATAACATTCAAAATCCCAACAATCCCCCACATGGATAATTATGGGTGTTCAAATGGTTAGCATGGTAATTACCAAACAAGCTAAAATTCTATAAACCATGGAATACAATATCATAACCAAATCGTCCAAACTAATGCAACAACCAAATTAACCAAACTAAAGTTTAATTGGTTTGGTTAACCGGATGAACCAATATAACATCACATTATCATTAAGTGGAATTTTTTAGTAAAGGTGTCGTATTCGGTGCACCCACTTTTTCGGGTGCACTCAGTGCACGCGCCTCATAATTGTCATTCTGACCATGCGATTCATGTCAAAATGGTATCAATTGTTGCTTATGATATTATGAACAAGAAGCACATGAATTTGAAAAAAATTCATTCAAAATTTACTTTAATTCGAAGGATTTAGGATTTAGGGATTTAGGGTTAGGGTTTGGGATTTAGGGTTGGGATTCAAAATTGAATGTTTAGGGGTTAGGGCAATGGATTGATTTGTTATGATTCTATGCCATATCATCATATTATATTGGGTTGGGATTCAAAATTGAATGTTTAGGGGTTAGGGCAATGGATTGATTTGTTATGATTCTATGTCATATCATCATATTATATTGAGAGTACTAATTAAAGTTCAAAATTTGATGTATTATGGACGCTTTTAGAGTTGGGTGCACTGAGTGCACCGAAGTAGCCACCTTTAGTTAATGCATCAATTCACAATTTATATGACGAATAAAACATTACAATGAACACATAGTTATAGTTAACCCTTACAGAAATACATGCAACTAGTACAATAATCTTACAGTCAATAGAAGTATTCACCTAACAAAAATATATGTTAATAGTATGGAGTTAATGAAATGTTGTGATTGTGTGAATTGAATTAGTCTCTTAGTAATTATCATAGGGTGAAAAGACCTTCTTTTCAAGTTTTCATCTAATATATTGTATGAGTTTTTATCTAAATTGGGTGTTCATCGATCAATGATCTACACTCTACAAATACATATATTCACTATAGGAACAATATTGAGCTTTATTGTTGATGAGCCTAAAAGGCAAAAAAAAATGTTTGGCTCTTGAGTGGTTATGTCAAGTAATAAGTATGTGTATATAATGTATATTAGATATATGAATAATTACTTAATTGGTTGATTTGGTTGATGGTTATGAGTGCCTGGAACCAAACTACCTAAACCAAACAAGCTAATTTTTTAACCAAATCAAATCAATTATGCAAATTAACCAAACCCAATTAACCAAATACTACCAGTTAAAAAGATTACCATGGTAACCACACCGTTTGAACACCCCTATCAGGATAATGCTCAATTTTAAAACTATGCACAACGCGTGAAAATGAGTTTTGGAAGAAATCTATCGAAGTAGAATTGACATACCCAATCTCTAGGTTCGGAAAAAAACAAAGTTGTGAATGATGGTTCGAAATTGTCAAATTATTCAAAAGTTCATTCTCATAATGAGAAAATTTTCAACATAATGGTTTACAAATTTACTTGATGTGATCAAATAGTGAATTTTTGGAATACACGTTTGGAAGTCACCTATATGAGTGTGAAGTAGAGTCTTTTCAAGGGAAATAAAAGAATGCTAGTTCTCTAAGCACTCATTAAATCATGCGTTGTTCATGGGTAAAACGAACACAACAATGAGAATCAGTGAATATACAAGAGTTGACTATGTGACATGTTTTTTTAGTATATAAACAAAACGACGATTCAAAGATATCACATCTACTAATTGGTGAGTATACTCGATATATTTTCACTAGGCAAGATTCAAAGGGAAACCCTCCAATTTCCGAACCTAGAGATTGGGTAATCCCAACGCGTGAGACCTATATTCATTGCATAAAAATGAGTTTTGGAAGATATACCAGTTGAGTTTCGAAGCCCCCGTTCGATACTTGATCCTCGCTAGTACAAGTAAATTTTCCACCTGTCGAATGGATGTCAATTTGAGGATGTGCTTTTGAGGGCACATATAAAGCTTCCGACACCCCTTAATTTTATTGACCATCCACACGAATTGAGGAAAAAGATTTAAATAAATACTCTGACTAATGCAGAGATACAAAAATTACTCTTGCTCAACTAATAAGAGTGTAATGCTCTAGCAAGCAAGCTCTTCACACACAAAAAATTGATTAGAGAATCAAGAAAAATAAAAAGAGTGATTGTTGGAAGGCAAAAAGTGCTAAACTGGTATGTCGAAAGATTGGTTGAAGCATTCTAAAGATAGAAGTCGTTTTTCAAAAGCCCGTATGTGTTTTGAGACTCTGTTGCATGATGCGTAGTTTGTGATTGAATTGAATTTCCAGTTATTCGTGCATGTTGATGTAGATATAATTCTAATGTGTTATTGTATGATTATGGATAGTGTTTGCTTGAGGACAAACAAAGTCCAAGTGTGGAATTTTTTTATAAACCTAAATTATTGTGTTTTCAAGTCTCTATATTTGATATATTTCTCCTTATATATGCATTTTTAGCAGCTTTTATTATATTTCATATAAATATCGTAAATATTTACACAACATGCATAAGTTAGAACTCGAGTGTCTTTTTGTATTATTTTACGCCTTTTTGGTTATTTTGTGCATTTCAAGGATACAATTATACTCAATCTATCTCAACCACCTTATATTTCTTGATATACATGTGTGACTTCCTTAACGATCTGGTAGTGATGAGTGTTTTCATAGTAAGACCTCAAATAAAATCAAAGAGGCAACCCTAAGACAAAAAAGAACCTCGTGAGTAGAGTTGGTGACGAGCAATAAAGATCCAAAGCGGAAGCTTAGTGGGTCTTATCAACAAATCAAGTACACGATACTAAACCCATATATCTTTCATACTATATGTCTTTGAATGTTGTTTAACTCTATTCTTAAACGAGTAAACCTTGTCAGTATCCAGAGTAGTTTCACCTAGAACTGGTAGTGATCTTGATTCTAGGATGTTTAAACAATAGAATAGATGGATTATCCTCTTTGATTAATAACTTAGATAAGTTTTCTAATAATTTGGAAGAACTCACTCACTCTAAGATTGATTAAAATTGAAGACTTGATCTTAAGGTTAAGGAGATGACTGATCTAAATTCATATCACAAGAGGATAAAGCCAAGCCATAATCACAAAGGAGAAGGATGTGAGTGATCTTCGACCTCGTCTAGAGACCTTCTTCAACATTGACACAAGAGGTGGTTTATCACTTTTGCTAGACTTTGGGGGAATGGATCCGGAGAAAGAAGAGTGATGGTGGTGACGATGTTTTATCGCAGAAACGATGGAGCAACGCTGTGGTGTTTTAATTATTTTTTACTCTTTGTTTATTGTTTTAATGACATGAAAAAGGAATCACAAAAAATGGGATGAAATTTTGGATGTCAGTCACCACATCAATATTCCTAGGCTTTGTGTTAACAGTTAACACTAAATGCTCAGTAAACAGAGCCAAAAAAGTTGTCCTATTATTGTCTCTAAAATTGACATTATTTGCAAAGTTAGGATATTAATAATGGTTTGCTGTAACTTTTAACACGTGATAAATGGATTTAAAATCTGAGCTGTCAAGTGCGACTGGTTTCAACCACGTCCTCATAAAATAAACGAACGCCTCAAATTAATATTGGCTGGCTCAAAATCTCGTCTTCTACCTACCTTCCCTCTGTCCTCTTCCCCATTCTCCATCGTTCTCCTCACAGGATGTCCCTCTGCACACTCTCCGACTAAAAAGTTTCTCTTCCAAGCACTGCATTTCCCCGCCGTCAGCCATGGTGGCGACTGAGCTGCTGAGACTTTCCGTGACGCCTTTCCCTAAGTTCTGCCACGGCCAAAGTCAGAGGTTCCTTTTTGACCACGTTGACCACAATGCTCAGCTGTCCAAGCGCCGCCGCTTCCTCCTCCTCCGGCGGCAGCGCGTCCTTCCCAATCTCTCCATTTCCAGCTCCCTCCAGACCAAGCCTGAACTTCAGGACTCCCGAATCGAGCCTCGCGAGCGTCCCAAGGACTCCCCGATTCTCCTCGATGTGAGCGGGATGATGTGCGGCGCCTGTGTCACGCGCGTCAAATCGGTGCTCTCGTCCGACGATCGAGTCGAATCCGCCGTGGTCAACATGCTGACCGAGACGGCTGCAGTTAAGTTGAGGCCGGAGGCTGTGGAGAGCGATACGCCGACGAATCTAGCTGACAGTTTGGCTCGGAGACTGACCGATTGCGGATTCGAGTCGAAGAGGAGGGTCTCGGGGATGGGAGTCGCGGGAAATGTGAAGAAGTGGAGGGAGATGGTGGAGAGGAAAGAGCAGATGCTGGTTAACAGTCGAAACCGTGTGCTTTTTGCTTGGACTTTGGTGGCGTTGTGTTGTGGATCGCACGGTTCTCATATATTGCATTCCTTTGGCATCCATCTCGCTCACGGTAATGGCAGAAGCTAAGTTCATCCCTGCGAAGCTGTAGCACGAGAGTATTATTTTAGCTTTCAGTAGGGAATTGCATTTTGCTTTGGCTTGTGCCTTTGAGGTGGGCGCTTCATTTGTGAATGGGGCTTGATATTGTATCTACTGAACTCTTGCTACCCTGCTATTTGGTGTAGGCTCATTCTTTGACGTGCTTCATAATTCATATGTGAAGGGTGGTTTGGCTGCGGGAGCTCTCTTAGGACCAGGGAGAGGTTTGTTCTCGAGCCTTTACAGTGTTCGCATTAGTTAGTCTCTACTTGATTATTCTTGCTAAAGTCGAGCGGAGTGTACTGTTGCAGACCTACTTTTTGATGGGTTAGTGGCCTTCAAGAAAGGATCACCAAACATGAATTCTCTCGTGGGATTTGGATCAATCGCTGCATTCCTAATCAGTGCGGTAAGAAACTCGCCATTTGTTGGAAAACTTTCTGCTCCATATGCACTGTAGTTTCATGTTATGGAATGTTCTGCTAAGGGGATATCTTTTCTTGCAGGTCTCCCTTCTCAACCCTGGTCTTCAATGGGATGCATCCTTCTTTGATGAACCGGTGACTTAATTGAATCTTTTTCTTTTTCTTTTTTGCCAATTCAAGAATGAATGTGAGTTCCTGGGTTACATGGCTACTAATGTCAGCATAATGATATATCAGTACAAACAGCTCCTTTTTTTTTTTTAAATCTTTTCTGAGCTTGATAGAAATCTTCTTTCAATTGATGAAGCCTTCCTCTACACAGATTCAAAATACTTCATGAACAGTCAATGATTTTTGCTGTTATCGCAGTTTCTCATGGATGTTATATCTATTAGTATGCAGGTCATGCTTCTTGGTTTTGTCCTTCTTGGGCGTTCTCTTGAGGAAAGAGCAAGGATCAGGGCATCTAGTGATATGAACGAACTTCTTGTAAGTAAAAATTAATGGAATGTAATGACTTCCTATCAAATTCTATCAATGCATAGAACTTGATAAATCATCCTCATTCGTCACTTTGTATCTTTTAATTCTTCAGTGTTAATAGGATCATCAGTCCACAATAATAATCCATCTCCATGACACTTATTTTCAGTTGTTCCGAAATTGTTTGTTATTTCTTAGATATAATCTATAATTACCACAAAAATTTCCGGTGCTTTATTAACTTGACCCGTCTTTTTTTGCAGTCACTCGTATCCACTCAGTCACGGCTTGTAGTTACTTCATCAGATAACAGCACACGTGCTGATACTGTTCTTGGCTCTGATGCAATATGTGCCGAGGTTCCGACGGATGATGTTCGTGTTGGAGATGCATTACTGGTCCTTCCTGGCGAAACGATTCCAGTAGATGTATGCATTTCAATTATAAGCAACTTTCTCTTAACTATGGTCACTTGTCAATAGTTTCTGCTGGATATGCTAAAATTTATTCTAGTGTAGAAAATTTTGTTGGATAACAATTGCATGGAAAATATATCGACTTGGAGTAATGCTCAATTGTTATATTGGACTTACATATTGGTTTAATTGTTGCAAAACAAATTATAAATGCTATAGTTTATAAAGCTTGTTATATTGGACTTACATATTGGTTAATTGTTGCAAAACAAAATATAGATGCTATAGCCTACGACCAGTAAAGTTCCATTTCTTGTCCATGAATTGACTACTAAAATTAATATTTATTCGGCAGGGCAAAGTAGTTGCAGGGAGAAGTGTGGTAGATGAATCCATGCTTACAGGTGAATCACTGCCTGTGTATAAGGAAGAAGGCCTCAAAGTCTCTGCCGGAACAATAAATTGGGTAGGATTGCTCGTACTTTGTTGCGTTGAATTGTGAAAATGTTGCAATTTTGTTGTGATGGATCTTTCAGTCATATTAGCTCTCCTGAAATGATAATAAAGATTCGATGTGGCATCATAATTCTTCTTTTTATGCAGGTAGGTTTGGTTAAAATTGATTTTACTTGGCAGTAAAATTGCCAAATTATAATGGGTAATATGCAAACCATTTCAGGATGGCCCTTTGAGGATTGAGGCCTCTTCTACTGGCTCAAACTCCACTATATCAAGGATTGTAAGCATGGTAAGAGCATGCATTGAGCGGCCACTGTTAGTAACTGAAGCACAATTTGAAGTAGTTTCAAACCAGTCAGTTTATAGGACGTCACTTGGACATATGAATTAAGTCATAGATCATATAATCTTTCACCAGGTTGAGGATGCTCAAGGCCGTGAAGCACCTGTACAAAGGCTTGCAGATGCAATTGCGGGGCCATTTGTGTACAGCATAATGACAATATCAGCAGCAACTTTTGCTTTTTGGTAGGCTTTGTTTCTTTCCATGCCTTGTTCTTAAGGTTGCAAAACATAATACATGCATATTGTTTTTTTTTAGCCAGTTAATACTAACTTCTATCCTAAATTCTTGTTTATGATTTCTCGTCAACATTCAGGTACTATATTGGAGCACGTATTTTTCCTGACGTGTTGCTCAATGATATTGCCGGACCAGATGGCGATCCATTACTTTTGAGCCTTAAACTTGCTGTGGACGTATTGGTGAGTAATGATGTTTTACTACCTGGTATTAGTTTATCCTTCCTACTTCCTATCGTGCTCATTTGTTTTGTAGCATACCTTTTCAGCCTTATGCTTAAATTCAATCATAATGACATGAATAGAATGTCTTGTTGGAGATGATCAAGTGCATTGATTCTGAAAGTAAATATTGACTTCTTGTTTAAGTGATACGATGGGTAGTTGGAAATCCTGAATTGGTGCATCAGAACTTTACTCATTATTCAATACAAAAATAATTGGCATACGCATATCAATGTATTGCAGCTAAGAGTGGATAAGAGTTCAATAATGGTATTTTCAGGTTGGTAGCATAGAGTGGATAAGAGAGTTCAATAAGAGTTCCATCACTCCTGCTTACAACAATGCTTTTCTTGTCTCAGGTAGTTTCCTGCCCATGTGCACTTGGACTAGCTACACCAACTGCAATCCTGGTTGGAACTTCCCTTGGTACAGTTTCTAACTTATTGTCATCTCACGAAGGAATGCTTTATACCAGGCAGATCAGAAATGATACGGCATGCTACAAAATATGTAGCATCTAATTAGTTGTTGGTAGCAAAGAAGTGGAAAAAGTAAAATCTAGAGAATGTTATCTCTGTAGCAATTGATACAGCCAAAGCTAATTTCTGCTTTTGGAAACTTAAAGGAGCAAAGCAAGGACTAATTATAAGGGGAGGGGATGTATTGGAACGCTTGGCAAGCATAAATTACATTGCTTTAGACAAGGTAGCTCCTCGAAATCGATAACCTATCTTTCTTACATGTGTTTTCCTTGATGCATACAACTTGCATTCTTGATGGTGGTGGAATTTGGTATGTTGGGTTAACCGTTGAATCAATTTTTGGACTAACTCTCTACTCTCTATTCCCCACATTCAGACAGGCACTCTCACTGAAGGAAAACCAACTGTCTCGGCAGTGGCTTCATTTAGCCATGAAGAATGGGAAATTCTTCAAATGGCTGCTGCCGTTGAAAAGACGGCGCACCATCCGATTGCAAAAGCTATAATAGCTAAGGCAGAATCACTGGATTTGAGTATCCCAGAAACAAGAGGGCAAATTACAGAACCAGGTTTTGGAACTTTGGCAGAAGTGGAGGGACGTTTGGTTGCAGTTGGCTCTTTGGATTGGGTCCATGAACGCTTTCATCGGAGGACTGCATTAATTGATATACAAAACCTTGAGGCTGCAGTGGTAAATCGATCGTCAAAAGAGATGCTCGAGTCTAACTATTCTAAAACACTGGTGTTTGTTGGCCGGGAAGGGGAAGGCATCATCGGTGCTATTGCAATATCCGACTGTCTGCGTCATGATGCTGGATCTACTGTTAGTAGGTAATATGCTATCTGTCAAGTATGATTGGGGCCTACCCTAGGCTACTTAATTGAGTGAAACTGACTTAGATTAGGTTAGGTGAACGACAACCTCTCCTAATTTTTTAGTTTATATCTTTCTTGTTAATTCTTTCTGTCCTTTGTTTTTTTGTTATCAGAAGCTTTGCCATTATTGTACTTGGAATTTTCATGTCATGTAGTGTCTTTTTTCCTGCTTTTAATGCTGATTTTCTTACCTCTTGGTTGGCTAGCCTCCAACAGAAGGGTATCACAGCAGTCCTCTTATCCGGAGACAGGGAAGAAGCAGTAGCAACAGTAGCCAGAAATGTTGGCATAGGAAGCGAACACATAAATGCAGCTTTGACTCCGCAGCAGAAATCTGAGGTTATCTCAACCCTTCAAGCAGCAGGACACTGTGTTGCAATGGTAACTACAATCATTCCTCTCAAATTTCTTGTTCAACACTAGAGGTGATAAGCAACGAGTTATGGTAGCCTTTCGAATAAGATAGTTGTAACATGTCATTCAGTGAAATTTAAACAAAAATCACAGCAGTGAACTGCTTCCGCCACGGAAAACGCTGTCCTGGTACTGGGATTATAGATATTGTTAAAACTTTGCAACTAACTTGCTAGATTGTCAATTTGATGGATGCCTTTGACACAAATGATTACTCCTGACACAATGGGTGATTAAAGGTAGGTGATGGGATAAATGATGCACCCTCCTTGGCTCTTGCTGATGTGGGAATCGCCCTCCAAAACGAAGCGCAGGAGAACGCAGCATCTGATGCTGCATCCATTATCCTCCTCGGCAACAAGCTCTCACAGGTATGTATTCAGTCTTTTATCCTGTACTTGGGTCGTTTTTATTTCGCGGAAGGTTGCAGTCCATGGAGAGTAGAGTGCACAGGATGATAGGAACGGACTTTGGACATTGCCATCATTTCGGATCCATTAGATCTGTAAGGTGGAAAGTGACCCTTCACTTTTCTTTTCTATGAGGGTGATGGAATTTAACTACCTGGCAAAAATCATTATTACCATTGTTATCAACTAATAAATTTAATAGAACAGCTGCAATCACGGAACCGAACCATGGACCATGCAATTTTAGAATCTTACCCCTCCCCCCTTGGAATTTAGACTCCCATCTCCGCATGGAAAGTTGATTTCATCCCTCACACATTCCTGCCCCTTGAAAGACCAAACAAGCAAAGGATTTTTTTCCACTTTTGATCACAAGATGGGATTTAATTGGACTCTTTCCTCGGTACCTAAGATGTGTTGATTGTGTCAGGTCGAAGATGCCGTGGAGCTGGCTCAAGCAACCATGGCTAAAGTGTATCAGAATTTATCTTGGGCAGTCGCATATAACGTGGTCGCTGTCCCTATCGCAGCTGGGGTATTGCTTCCCCAATATGACTTTGCCATGACCCCATCACTATCAGGTGATTTTGCCATCACAAGCTGAAACTGAAGGCTGTCCCAGATGTAGTTAGTAGTAGTGGTTCTGATTCTTTTCCAGTTTTGTTTGACCAGTGCGTGTCATTTTCCATAACGCAGGTGGCCTTATGGCATTGAGCTCCATATTTGTTGTCACCAACTCATTACTTCTGCAGCTCCATCGATCACCGAATGCCCGATGAAGCTCTCTGTTCCTCATATCGCAGTCTCAATATCCGTTCTATACACGAGCCTTCTGCAGCTCCGCTATCACCAGGGTGTTGGGGATGAGATTTGCCTTATTTATTTTGTGCGTAGCAGTGGGATTTGGATGAAGATATATGATTACATTAACTATTAATACAGGGTAGCTGTTGTGTGTTCAGGGAAAATTATAGCGTTAATTGAAATGAAGATGAGAATAAGCCTCCAATTATTAGGCTTCTAGCAGCAGTAAAAAAGAGCGACCTGAATACAGACCGAGCACGAACCAGCACCGAAGGAGTGTGTCGTGTGCATTCTCAGCTGTCTTGCTACGAGCATGTTGCTCTGATTAACGATATTTTGTATGTACAGTGTTTCCAGGAGCGGGTGTAGCAGCAATTGTCCCTTTTGTGTCATACTTTTTTGTTATAGTAATATCGAAAATAAGGAACCAGCACCTAAATTATTGTATTTTTGCTCAATAGAGCCATGTCTACTAATGGAGCCATTTGGCCATGTCTATTACTTTTTGTTATAGTAATATCGAAAATAAGGAACCAGCACCTAAATTACTGTATTATTTGTATGATTGCTTAATAGAGCCATGTCTATTAAGACTTTCTTTCCATAGATAAAATCGTCAATCAAACACTGAATATGTCACATACATCAGCTTCAAACTAAAATATAGACCTAAGGTTCATCAATCTAAGAGAAAGAGGTTTAGTTCATAGAGAGAGAAGAAAGATTACAAAAATAGCTCAAGATCTTCATCTTCTAGGCTTGAATCCTTTACTCCAAGATCAACCCAAGCTTCCAATTAAACTTCATCTTCTAGGCTTGGTGTAATGTTATATGTTATTACTCATACGTTAGATGAGATTTGATATAATTTATAAGGATAAGTATAATATAATGACTCTTTCAATATTTCCGGTCTAAAAGGGCTAAAACGGGTGATCCGTTAACCCTTGACCCAGTAGCTCGACCGGGTCTGGGTCAGGGTCAACCCGCGGGTTGACAACCTTGCTTCTTAGCCCTCTTTATTTCTTTCCTTTTGTTTTCTTTTATTTACCACTTGTTGAGGGCTAGTAGAGAACCACAAACACATGCCACATTCTTGAACTTAATGAACAATGCTCACTTTTAAGAACTTCCTTCGACACTCACTTTTTCATCCTTAGCAAACCGTGCACAAATCACTCATGTGGAACCTCAATTAAAGCTCAAATGATATGATGGTCACTTACAAACACAAGGGTGACTCGATAATGGTGTTGACTCGAAAAAAAGTATGCACGCTCCATCTATCTCAATCAAGCTCAAGTAGCAAGAGTTACCTAACACGAGAGCGACCCTTAGAAACACGCCTGAAAAGGGTTGACTAAGGGATGATTCAATTGGGACTAGTCAATATTGGGTCGTGGACTAATCCTATGTCTCCATCCTCCTTACTAGTGACAACGTGAATGCTACACATCATGATAAGAGGGATCTATCACACAGTAAAAAAACGAGTTGCACAAATCTCACATGACTACCTAGATGCTCAACCATTCATTCGAACTTCCAAATTTCTATGCATAACAATTGGGATCAATGAGTAGTCAATCCAAAACATTGGTTTGCAACCACATGAGAACTGAACATTTACAAAACCCTAATGCATATCTCAGTCATAGGTTGTTCTCAATCACAAACAAGTCATCCATACATCAGCACTAATAGCCACGAGATTTAAAACAAAATACCAAAGGTACCACTATGATCATGCAAATGTAAAAGTTGTTATGCTTGGAGCCCTCAAATTTTAAAAATTTGGGCATACAACTAGGCTTCAAACACTCGAAAATCACCCTGAACATTCACACACACAAGCATAATAGACTACCCCCCCCCCCCACTTAAGCTCGACATTTCCCTCAATGGCATAAAATAATGAGGTAGAACGATGTTACCAGATAGGGTGTGAATGTCGGGGGACGGGAGTGGAGGCCGACTCAGATCCAGAAGAGCAAGGCAACACCCAAGCACCAGGAGAAAAGAAAACAAATCGATGGAGTAGGTTGCCTCCCCACCAAGCGCTTTTTTAGCGTTGTCAGTCGGACAGTGATGTTGAAGTTTAGGTCCATCCCAATACCTCCTTGAAATTGAGGTTCTCGTCGGTGATGTGGAGTCGCAAGTCACGAACATTGGATGCTTCAAATGATGTAGATGGCTCGTAAACTTGGTGTCAATGGAGGCTCCACCCACGAGACCTCTCCTTCTTATTTCTTCCCTTTGCCCCACACCATGAAAGACATCATGGATTGACCATCATCGCATCCACCTAGAGGGATCGCCGATGGTGGCGTTGACTTGACAAAGAGCCACAAACGGGTCCTTCTCGAGAAGCGCATTGAGGTCAAGTGGAGAGCTTCCGTAGCACTTGTAAATTCTTGAAGCTTCATCCTCCACGACCTCGTCCTCATCTTGGACCTCACGTGAATCTTCAACTTCTACTTCAACGTCCCTTCTATTTTCAAAATTTTATTTCTCCCTTTGGGAACAACCAAAATCTTCCTCATATTCAATGCTTACTTCCTTCATTTCAACCTCTTCCTTCTACTTCCCATCCTTGTCTTCAAAGTTGTTCTCGGGAAGGGGAAATTTATGAGAGTCACCAATGAGACACTCTTGATCATCCTCACCATGAGAGCTCTTCGGGTTGAGTTCCTCTTGCTCTACATAGTCTTCATTGCTCGCCCTTTTGACCTCCACTTCTTCTTCCAATGGTGAGAGACGATGGCGTGCACAAGCTCGCGCAACCTTCTCTTAAAGTGTCAAACCGGGTGGAGGGAGGGGTTGGAAATCCGTGTCGGAGCTCGATCTTCTAAAGTACTCATGGCTTGCCTCTTCGACTTCTTTTGCTTCTTCAAATGGTAGGAGACGATTGTGAGCAAGTTTTTCACATGCTTGTTCAACAATCCCTCCTATCCTCTCAGTGCTTCGAAGGATCTCCTCTAATGTCTGTAGGAAGGACGAGTCGATAGAATTAGCAGTTGGAAGATCCACATTTGAGCATCCTTCATCGGTGCACCGGGAAAATTGCTCCACCATTAGCTCCAATTCGCTCTTGGGTTCTGGTTGTGGAGTGGCACTTGGTTGTGAGGGATTCCCCACAAAATCTTCCACGGCCAATTCCAACTTAGATTTCTCTTCAGTTTGTGGAGGGAAATTTTCTTGATATGGGGAAGCCTCTTTATATCCCCATTGGTATGGTTGTTCTTCTCGGAAGGGAGGTTGATCATAGAACCCGGTTCCTTGGATTCCATCCTCTTGGTTACTCCATGAAGCTCTGGGGTACCCCTATTTGGGTTGTTGTGGATACCCCCACATGTTGTAGAGGCCATTGGGATCCATGATTCAACCTACACAAACAAAAACACTAAAAATAAAATCAAACACACACAAATCACCCTTCAAAACAAAGAGTGGGTGAACAAAACACAAACGAAACACAAAAGCACAAACGGCTAAAGTAACAAACACAAGCCATTTTTTGATAACCTAGAAGATGTGTCCCGCAATGGTGCCAAAAACTTTGCTCGACTCTAGCTACACATCTCAATTATCACCCAAGCATAATCGACGGCCGGGTGTACCAGAGGGTAAGCAAGCAATAAGAATATCAAACCACGGGTCTCCTAGGTGTACCTTACTTCGTCTTGAGGGTTCGTTATCTAGCCAACCTTGAATAGTGATTAAGAAACTAACCTAACTACACTACACTACCCTAACCACTACCCTATCTAATTACAAGTGGTGGAGCTCTCTTAGCTTGAATCCCCTTAGTTCTATCATTTGGATTGATGTTGAGTACTATCCTAGCTCGATCGACTCACTACCCTACTATTATGAGATCAACTCACTCGGATTGACCTGGAATGGCAAAGTGATGGATTGGTAGTGCTCTATCCAACCTAGAGATTCATATGTTGTTAGGAGGTCAATCAAATCAACTCCCTCGGGGATTACCGAAAAACATATGATAGGAGTGACCCAAAGACAATGGGCTATAAGGGGATTATCTCCCTCGTAGGTCAAAAGCTCAATTAACATGAAGTGGAATCCAAAATCATGTAACTCATGAAAACCATCCATCAAATAGATAAAATCATCAATCAAACATAGAATATGTCACATACATTAACTTCAAACCAAAATCTAGATCTACTGTTCATCAACCTAAGAGAAAGAGGTATAGTTCAAATAGAGAGAAGAGAGATAACCAAAATAGCTCAAGATCTTCATCTTCTTCATCTTCTAAGATTGAATCCTTAACTACAAGATCAACCCAAGCTTCCATTAAACTCCACGATCTCTCTCTCTCTCTCTCTCTAAACTCCTCTGTGGTGTTTTGAGTCGAAACACTAGAGAGAGAACCAAGTTATTCTCCAAAAACCAGCTCTCCTTTCTCTCTCCTAGTTGCTGTCTTTTTATATAGGCCGATAGCCATTGTCATGGTAAGATGTCACGGGGGTGACCTCGGCAGCCTGGCCGTGATCATGGAAAAAAATTTGGCACTTTTTGAACTCCAATCGCCCCGAAACTAATCTTTGACCTTCTTACACGTACTAGGACCTGAAATATACCAAAAATAGCACAACCTATTAAGTGGAAACCGTTGCAATTAACCCTCATTTGTGCGCTCATAGGTTGTTCTCTCTAGCAAGTACATCTTCTAGTATGGAACTTCTCGAGAGCGGTGAGAGATGAGTACTTCAACTCCAAAGACCTTTTTAATGATTATTTTGGTTTTTGGGGTTCTTCGCAAACAAGGCAGACACTTGGTAATTATCTGGTTACTAGGTTTAATTGATTAGTTTGTTCCAAAAATGGAAAAGGGTTGTGGTGATGTGACGAGAGAAGAGGAAGGAGTAGTAGAAGATGAGTGAGGGAGAAGGGGTAATTATTCAAAAATGGTTACAAAGTTTAACATTTGTGCAAAATGATAGCTTAACAATTTATGTTTGGTACCCGTTGTTAAGTATGTGAAAGGAAATTGTGATTATGAAACCATAATAAAATTTATATGATTTAGTTGCAACTAAAATTCGACTTGTGTGATTTAATTATAGTAAAAATAAATTAGATGGTTAGTCTACAATACCACCCTATACTTAAGTGGCACACCGTGCATCGAACCCTCGTATGGATGATCACAATGGTTGAATATGTGGTGGGGTGGATTAATTTGGATTCTCATGTACACTTAATTAATAACAAGGCAATCTAAAAGGATGGAGGCGTTTCATTGCGTGTAATTGAGTCATTATTGTCCTTTAACTAAACAATTTGATCGATTGTGTGATGACGCCAAACCAAGGTTTGTTTTTATTCGATTTTCTCGTCCAACCCATTTATTAACTATGGTTGTACCTAAGTTGAAAATCAGGTTGTTGCAAATCACACCAGGTAAAGAAAAAACTTTGATCCTCTCGTTTTTGTTGATCTATTTCAACAATCAAAAATAGGTTCGTCAAGAAACTCAATTCATTTCAGGTTTTTTTATCTTGCCTTAGGGAGAAAGAGGAAGGGGAATGGCAGGAGCGATAAACAAGTTCTTTGTTACCTCAATGTTCATGTGGATGGCTCCGATTGGGGTCCTTTTCGCCTTTAACCACGATTGGCTTCCCGGTAACTACGCTTCTCTCTCTCTGTCTTTATTTTTTGTGTGATGAAAGTTCATTATTTATGATAAATATATTGCTACTTTATCAGCGACCCAAGTTCCATCCCGGAGGGTGCCATGAAATGATTAGAAGAAGAGATTTAACTATCACTAGGAAAGTTGGTGTGATTTGAAATGGATCTTTTGCGATCCCATCTGGTTGGTTTCGTTTTTGAACAATGAGATTGGAAATGTTTCTAATGAATAATTTGTTTGTATTAACAAAGTAAGGTAGCTCGTGAATTACGAATTGCACAATAGTTCCAAAGTAACAGCAACATGGTACAAAGTACCTATTAAATCAATATGAATGAAAGTTACAACAAAGTTGTAGACAAGATTCAGATTGAGGAGTGAGATGAGGACATTATTATTTGAACACAACAGTAGGTAGAGATAGTCACTTGAATTCGATTCATTTGATTAACATATGTAATGAATGTTGATTGAGTGAGAGGTGAGGTGTGTGTCGGTTTAAGAGTTAAAATAGGTGGCTGGTCTAGAAATTAGGTTCGTGTAGCTACTTAAATACTTCCTATCATCTACTGGTCATGATGATACAGAAAGTCATCGCTTTCCTGCTTAATAGTTTTTACCTCTTGATTTGTTTCATCTTTTACTTTACATGGAAAAAGGAATGCATGCTTGTATTGATCTACATGCCTTTTCCTCTATTGAAAGGAATTGTTCATTGTGATTCTAATAATAATGTGACTTCTGATAATTCATTTTGTTTCTTGTATGAATTTAGGACAAAAATTAACTGTGTATCTCATCCCCTGATATATTTTTGGGGTATATAATATTAAGTATGTTGACAATCTTGGAAGGTTATCCAAAGATTTGAACAATATACGCAATTTTGTGGATCCACCATTACATTAGAGTTCACACTATATTTTCTTTTTCCTTTTGAATGTATCTCACATACAGTGTGTTGGTACTTGACTTATTGTCATATAAGGGGAGACATGAATATATAAGGAAGCTGTGATATAATACACTCATCTTGTGACTTGATTTCATTATTGAATAATCAATCTAAAATCTCTTATCAACAAACCCTTTATTCTAAAAGCCAGATTGGAAGTTGGAATGTACATAATCCTTTGGCTAAATTTGTGGATTCTGTACAGGTTTGAGTCAATTATCACCACACACTCTAACATTGTTGAGCGGATTGGTAGCTGTCGTGTCAGTCAATATAGTTATGGGATTCTATATCTATATTGCAATGAAGGAACCCGTAGACAAACATGAACCACACCCTGGATTTGTTGCCGAGGCCAGAGCTAGCCTCAACAAACTTAATAAAGGTAAAGAAGCTTCAATGGTATCCAAGAAAGATTAGCAGATAGATATTTAGCACTCTAGCTAACTAAAACAATATTGGGTATTGTTGAATGTTCCTTTTAATGGTATAGTCAGTTTTGAGCTGTGTTATCTATGTATCTATGTAGTGCTCCACAATGACACACAATTTGTTGTAACTTATCTTTTATCTCACTACTTATCATTTATTTGAGAACTATATCGACAAATGATAATCTTGACAGAGCATAATTATTTTATGGTCTAGGATGCACATAGACATATCCAAGCCTTCATTGAGTTTATTGACAGGATCTAGGTTGTTGAGGTGCCTCAATAAGATATGCGTTTGAGGTTGTTCCCATTTTCTTTGAGTGGAATACCCAAGAGATGGTTGACAAAACAGCAACCCTACTCCATTTTGTCTTGTAAGGACCTTTATTAGAAGTTCTTAAACTAATATTCCCACCTTCGAAGATGGCCCAAATAAGCATTGAGATTTCCAACTTGATTTAGGAAGATGAGAACCTTTATTCGAAGCTTAAGATCTCTACAATTCCCTCCTCCTAAATATCATCATCAATGGTTTCCAAGATTCAGAACTCGTAGGATCACCGAAAGATATGAAACTTGCTCCATTATATGCATAAATTCTATCCAACTTGTAGATGTCACTCACAAACCTGTATGAGTTGGTAAGAGTGTGTTGCAAACATTCATGACATGAGATCAATGAATTTTGATTCCATGAAACTTTCTACAAGTACATTTTCCAACGCGCTCATTATTGTTGAATTTCACCTCTAGCACATTCCTATATGTCCTTGCACGGTTGTTAGGTGGAGTCTTGATCTCGCACTTCCCTTCATATTGATTATACACATTCAGATTATGTCCAATTTTCTTATCCGACCATTCTTCATGAACTCTTCACATTTTTTTAGTGAGACTTGTCGGCTCTAATTTGTGTTTCAATCTCTAACCGTGGTCATCAAAATTCTTCAATACTCGTTAAAAGGTGCGTTGAACTAACTATGACAATGATAGGCAATGCACGAATTCCTTTGAAAACCCCATTAATGCTCTCACCATATTTGATATCCTAAGGATCAGCAACGTCCTCCCTCGACATTATCATGTGCAATGCTCCAAAAATCTGATGCTTCTCAGCCCACTTGCTACATTATATTCCTCTTTCATCCGCCATTTTCACAAATTTACTACATTGATGATTGAAATTCAGAATACATTTTCCTGAACCTTTCGTCGAACAAAGTCAAATTAATTGCCAATAATAGAACACATTTTGTTGGCATAATGTCGCATACACCACTTTCATACCCAACCTATTCCAATATCTCTAAGTGTTTCACTTAGCCCCGCATGTCGGTCAGATATGATACATATGTCATTGTGGTCACTCAAGCTCTAAAGATGTCTGATGAACCATGACCAACTATGATTGTTCTCGCTCTCCATTAACGTAATCAGAAATATTTTTTGTTTACCATAAAAGAAGTTTGCAATGAGAACCGTGTCATTTATATTTGCCAATGAGAAATGGTCCGTCAACGAGGATGAATCCTAGAAAAATCTTGAAGCCTTGTATGCAAGGTCCAAATTCTCAAAACACTCGTTGAAAGATCTTGCGGCCTGGCATAACATACCATGCCTTTTGTAACAAATATTAATTTGTACCTATCTTTACACTCGTCTTGCAAAACTTTGGCATGTATTGATCACGTTGTAGTACGTAGCCAAAGTTTCTGGTCTAAAAGCCATGTTCGTATTTCCCTAGGATCTCTCACAAGTCACAACCACTTACTAATGTGGTGAGGGACGAGTTCTATGATTTTAAAGGCGACGGTGGAGGTTGAGGTGCATCCAGGAGGAGGGGGGGGGGGGGCGAAGTTCCTCTTGGTTTTATAAAATCGAAAAGGAAACAAAATATAAAACTAAATCCATAGCTACTGGCGAGTGGAGGAAAGCAAGAGGACGAGGCGTTGCACATGCAAGCTCCCCCTATAGTTTCCTAGACTCATAACATTTATCCCGACAACATATGAGTTGCTTAATCCTTGTGATATCTCACATACCTTGTATCACGACATTTTCCAGAACTAGTATGCAACAAGGACCTTATGGATTTCTCCCTTGAGGTGTCACGCAGTTCGATCGATTGAAGATCGATCATGCATGATGGTTGTGTTTAGTTTTCACCCTACGCAATTGGGGTTTTGAGGCATACATCTCGAAGGGATGTATGTTTCATGAAGGTTTCAATCAATCAACAATAGATAACACGGAAGAAACAAGCAATAAGATAGGAATTAACTAATCATATATACGCTAAAATCAAACCAACTAAGGGAACTAGCCGGCCATGGGGATGAGATCCATGGGATACATCAGCCGAAGTGAGAATCCCAAGGAGCTTTACAAATTGGCGTCCATAGGCCATAACAAAGATTTTGGGGACTAGGGCGCCGATTTTGTGGCCTATTTGCCTCTGGTAGCCGGTTTTGCTCTAAGTCAGGTTAGTCATTCTGTAAGCAGAGTAACGACCCTATAATGCCCCCTATCACTGACTACCAAACTCCTCCCCTTAGAAGTCTATTTATAGACTTTCTATTAGGATTTTGGAAAGAGAGGACAGTCATCTATTGTGTCTTCGAGTCCCAATCAACCTTCTCTAGCTTGGCGACCACAAAAGGTATATTTTTGAAGATTCTGGACAAACCTTAAAACAACGGGCCAAATGCCATTTTGGTGATATGGCTATTGAATCTGATGTCCTTTATGTTCTCTTTTCATTTTCTGCTTCTGGCTCCTAGTAGTCGAGTCTTGATGTCCCCCGACACATCCGAAGCGATCCATCATGTTGCCATGCCCAGAAAACACACGAAAGACTACCAAGAGTGCATCCAATTGATAAAAGCAAGTCTAGTGCTACTAGAACTCACTTTGAGTAATCACATTCAAATTCAAGATATTATGATGATCAAAGTCAAAATCATGAAGTAATGGTCATAATATGAGTGAGTGGTCTAAAAAGGTACTTAAATGGATTGGATTAGATACATGAATCCACCAATCCAATTGGATTTGGATCAAATGAATTGGATTTAAATGGATTGGATTAGATGGATATTTAAGTGGATGAATTGGATCACAAATTGTCAACTCTAGCGATGACCAGTCAGTTGAGCCATGTTGCTACAATAACGCGCCAAATCCGCCTTTTTAATTATTCAATCACCACAAGAAACTTTGGAGGCAAATAATCCATCCATGTAAAGTTGTTCTCCTTGTAGTTGTATCATTTCACCTTCCAAAGTTTTAGTGTTAACTCCACCACTCTAAATTGGAATTAATGCCCCCTAACGTAAAGTTTCAGGGTCTTTTGTGCAACTTCTTTTGAACGAAATATTTGAAAAACGTAGAACTCTTTTTCTAGATGACTTCCTAGTTCATATTTCATATATCCAAAAGAGTAAATTCTCATATCATTGTCATAATCTTCGGGGAGCACAATAAATCTGTGACAAGAACATATGTCTCTAAGTTTGATGTAGTAGCTCATTCGATAACAAGTCGATGTTCATCTTCATCGACCTCATCGCCATCAGCCTCGTCCCCATCTGTCTATATGATCATCTGGATCATTAGGGACACTACTTGAACGCATATTGGGTGTATGGTCCTCCTCTTCTAGATCACTAGCGAACTCGACATATATATTAGCAAACTCGAGATTTGAATTTCGCATCGTAAAATATGTTATCGTATCATCTCCAACACCATCCAGATGGGAATACCATAGTGATAAAATAAAATTATCATTTTATTGTCGTAGATTGGTGTTGATCACCTCATATAATTGCTCATATTTCAATCGACCATGAACTTGTAGTATGAAATTAGAACCACTAATGAACCTCAACCCCAACTTTCTCTCTTCATTCTGGATTCCCACAAAATAACAAGCTTAAAGGCTAAAAAATCACTACACACAAGAAGAAGAAAATAACTATAGAACTATTAAATTAACTATCTAGCTAATTCACACATATCACTTAAGTAAATATCAAAAGTTAATCAACATACTTCGTATGAGCTATAATCTCTCAAATGGTTGAGTAATCAAAATGCATGAATTATGCTTAATGTGGTGGGTGGTGTTTGTAGGAGATGAAAGTTAAGAATGGTGGAACTTGAAAGAAGATGTGACAATTCATTAGAAAATGACACCCTATTTATAGGTACTCTAGCATGTCCGTTAGTAAAATTTCTGTTGGTTGTCTGGGAACGTTGGTAATTGTAGATGTCGGAACGCGAATCTGAGCGACAACATGCCAAATTGAGGCTCCCCCTCTCCCAATTGAGTTTGTTGCCGCCCCAACTAACTTTTTAGCGTCTGTACTATTGAATTGGGCGTGCACGCCTATTTATGTCTTAATAATGACTTACAACTTGTGCGCCCCAATAAGCTTATACGAACAATAGATTTGAAAATATATTCATAACTGCAGCATCTTGAGTAAATATTTTTTAAAAGACAATATTTTAAGAAAAAGTCGAAAGAAACAAACCAATTATTTATTTGAAGACATTTATTTAACTTCATGTCCTCTATCATTCACCAAATAAAATTTATGATATACAATATAATAACCAAATCGATCATGCTAAACAAAATAATAGTCAAACCTTAAAAAAAATTAATTGAATAGCCAAATCATTAACTTTCCGTCCGGTCAATTGTTAGTTGACTCCGATGTGACAAAATGACTATGTACTGGATGATTTTTTTCTGATGTGGCAAGTAATAAAATTTAATTTCTTATTTTTCAAATTAGAAAACTAAACTAGAAAAATGTAGTTTAGAACGGGGTTCGACTCTCTCTCTCTCTCTCTCTCGTTCTAATCCATCCTTTCGATCAGCATATTACTTCATATCGACGCCACCTCTCAGCACAACATTCTCGATCGCAAGACACAGTCCATCTTCATGAAAGCTTGAGCTCATACTTGCAGGCAAATCAGAGATGGTGTCGACGATCGCTTGCTCGAGTTTCCACCCTCGTATTAGAATAGTTGACTCCGTTCTTCGATTGAACAAGTATTGTGGACTCGCAATAAATTGCGGTGGAATACTTGGATTACTTGAAATTCTTTGGCAATTACGTCTTCCCGTACGAGGTTTCTCTAAGAGGGGACGATGATTTCAAATCTCAGTTGGGGTTGTAGCCTTGCAGGATACAAAATTCAGTCCCCTTCGCACATGACTGAGTGTTTGTTTGGCTGATGAATGGGTGTGGGAGGAGCTTTCGTCGACGACAAATCTGGCCTTGGAAAGGAATTGGGAATCGCCATTGCAGTCGTTGAATTCAACCTCAAACTGCAACTGAGCGATAGGAGGCGAAGCGATGGCCAACAAAGAAGGTTTCTCCACCTCAGGGATTCAGAGCTGTAGGTATTGCCCTGCCAGCGTGTGGGATGCGGATTCCAGAGATGAATCGATGGAAGATAAATCAGGTGTTTATGGATTTTAGATTTGAAATTGAGGGTGGAGACAGTTTTCTAGACGGATATCCCCGCCGGGAGAGGAGACTCGTTTGGACGACGGTTTTGGAGTCGACGAAGAAAAGAACAGAAGAATTTTTTTGTGCCATTGTTACTCCAATATTTAGATTCCAGAGGACGGAGGAGAAGAAGAAGAAGTCGAGAATCGTGGTGAAAATAAAATAGAGCCGGAGAAGGAGAAGTAGCCGGAGGGAAAGGGACTCTTGTCGTTTGGTCGATGGAGGAGATGGAGGAAGGGAAGGGAAGGGATAAGGATTAAAAGAATTTGTGGTTGTTTTTTGGTTAAATACACTTGTATATCCAAAACTTTCACGGTTGTGTCAATAATATCCAAAATTTCCGAAATACCACTTATATCCAATTCCTTCACATTCTTTAACGGTGTTTTTGGATATGCAAGTTTATTTAACCAAAAATATATTGGGAAATGGATAGATTTGGCAAAGAACAACTTTAAAACATGGATATAAATGGTATTTCGGGAAATTTGGATATTATTAGCACAACCGTGAAAGTTTTGGATATACAAGTGTATTAAACCTTGTTTTTTTAACAATAATATATGTTTTTTCTATGATGATGTGGCAAAATCAAATAGTTGATTTTTTTGACACATTAGCACTTTTCATCTACTACGTTAGAGTCAACTAATAGTTGATCGGACGAAAAGTTCACGATTTGACTATTAAATTATTTTCGAAAATATTTAGCTATTATTTTATTTAAAATAAAAGGTTTGACTATTACATTGTAACCCTAAAATTTATAGTGATTAATATCGCAGTCGTCGAAATGCCTGTATAGAAAACCGATCAACTTTCTAATCTCCCATGATGCATTATTTAATAATTTGTAATCATACCTGTGATCTACATCCCCTCGATTGTTTTTGGCCGAAAACATGTTCGCACATGAAAATCTATAACACCCTGAAATCAAAGCTGCAAGTAGAAACAAACAAGTTTAGGGTCAAATAAATAAAATATATTTGATTCACCAAACAAATTAATTAATAAAATAATAACGATCAATGAATAGATCCTCCCTACGTAGATTAGACGACGACAGACGGATCACGGATCCCAACTTAAAAGCAACAGATTTTTTGTGCGGTGTACTGAAGGAAATTCCGACCACAAAAAAAAAAAAAAAAAAAGAACTCCGGTCGAATTCAAACTCAAAATTCCAAATCTGACGCTCCTCATAGTCACTGAACCGAGGCACAAGGAACGGCGTCGTTTTGGGGCTAACGTTACAAATGTCAAGGCAAACGAGTCCAAAAAAAGACCCACAGTCTGACGTGTCCGCCACGCCACCCTCTGCAGCACCTGTACTCTCCTCCCTCCTTTACACATATC